TTAATGTATAATTATTTTAAACAAAAATTAGGAATAAAATAATATTAGTTGGTAATGATAAATAATATAAATCATGTAATTATTGTCCAATAAAATTCATTTCACGTGACTGTATTATAGGCCAAAGAATTTGGCCATAAAATAAAAAAGTGGTAGCTTTAGACCGTTCGCACCATAGTTAATAGATTATCAAATATTCTACTAAATACAAGATTTTAAAATTTATACTTAAAATTTTTAATAAAATATTATTTATCTCTAAATCATATAAAGCTTTAAATATGCTAAACTTTTCAAAATTTTATTATTTTATATAAAAAATCAATCTCTTTAGAAAAATAATTCATCTGCTACTTTAACTCTCTTTGCATTCAATTGTTTAACATTCTGTGTAATTATATTTTTTATTCTTTATCAAATTTAAATTATACAATAGTTGACATTTTCATTGTTTTAGACTTTTTTAATACTAGATTTATTAATATTTTCAAATAAATTTTAGCTAATAGAAAGTTTAGTTTTGATTATTGTAATTTTTGATTCATATTTAGATAAGTTTTAAATAGCTCTTCAACTCTCTGCTGATGAATTATTAAACATCAAATTCGATTTTTTATAAAGTCATATAAATAAGGATATTCATAGAAATTAGAGTTTTGATTTTGAGCATAGTGAATAAATTTTTCCTGAATGTCAAATCTGTTAAAACATCATATATGTATCTCTACTGTATACATTAATGTCAATACTCCAATGCAATGGTTGTTCCGAAGGACATGAGTGAAATGCATAATTTTTTTGCGGAGCGGACTAATTACCTTGCCAAAGCATTTAGCCATCGTCACCAATGGTAACTGATGATTATGGCTCTGTTGAATTCCATAACATGCCGAAACAAACTCGTGACAAGTGACTCTCTTATTGTCACAAAATAATATCAACTCTGAGAGAACGTTTGCTATGCTATATATTCGGGCCCTATTAATACGTAGTTACAAGACACATCCAGAGATAAATATAATTTAGCTCGGTGGGAGATTCGGTTGTTACGTCATCTTCTGGTTCATGAGAAGCCCATTCTCTATTTGTTCACACTTCAGCCTTTTCTTCCTGACTTCCCGGGATAGCCTCTTCATTGCTGGTACTTCTGACGTGATGTCTTACCAGTAGACACGTTCATGACTTGCTTCGAACAGTGGGATAAGAAAAAAAATAATTCAATTATACAGGAATGTTTCCAGTATGAAACAACTAATTTGCTCGCAGTAAAAAAAATTTAGATCGTATTAAAAAGTTCTTGTAAATCACTAATAGAAAAACTTTATTTTTCGGCAACCTGATAATTACGGCAACCAATTTAGTCAGCGGAGTAATTTTTGCTTAGGTTTTTTTTTTTAACGAGAATCTACTAAAATTAATGCTACTGCTTTCACCACTAAAATTATAATAAATTAGATGCTAGTATGCTACACATTACAGAAATTAACAGCTAATATTAACTTTCTCGAACCCACTGTCATAACGACAAATACCGAAGTGATAAACTCGCGATTATTTTGATGATCATCTTTTTTTAAATTGCGAACGTAATTGAGGAGTTGTTCACGGGCCCCATTGTAAATTTATCTCATGGTTTTGCCATTGTCAAATTTCTCCAAATTGTCACACTTCAATTGGAGTACATCTTTTCTTGACATTGCCTCAAACTTTGTATGCTTTTCGCTTCATCACTTCCCAGCTAGAATTATTACCTGATTCTGAAATACAATTCAAAATAATAGTAAGCATAAAGGAGCTTACGAAAGATGGTACCGAGAATGTGAAAACATACCTTTGATTGCAGGTCCAAGAAGTTGACCCTTTTGTTCTTGAACTCGAAAATGAAACGATTCTGCTTTGAATTTTCGGCAGATTTGATCTCAACTATCAAGAGGTCAGCATAAAGGGAATCTTTTCGTCTTGAAATCATATACTTGATGAGGCTAATAAACAAATAATAATGTTCAACGTGAATAACATAAACTGAAGAAAAAAAAGTACAAAAGTCAGATTTTTTCATCGAAATCTTTACATTCCACAATCATCAAAGATTAGATTTTCGCCTCTAGGCGCTCATAAGTTTGCGTAAAGGATCTCAACCCTATAAATATACTTACTTTATTTATTGAACACAATAATAACAAATAACCATTAAATATAACAAAGAAATACCGGTTGTTTTAGTTCATCCGGTAATTCGTGGTCATAACGTTTAATAGGGCAGAAAGTTCCTCTGCAGGTAATTCAATTACTTTGAATATGGATTTATCACTTTGCCTAATGATAAAAATTGTTTAAGGAAATTTTTTTAAAAATAAAATGAAATAAAATCATACAATACAAGCTTATACTTTTTGTCCCAGATATTTAATTTTAGGATCCTTGAAACATAGTGATTGCAACTGTTTTTGAACGCTAAATGTCTTGCTGGCCTTTGCTTTAATCTTATCAATCAGCACTCTTTTTTTATCTAAAGCCGCTTTTCATTCCTTGTTCTTCAATTGTCAACAAAAAGCAAATCTTGACCCGAAGCTTCGTATCTTGCTATTCGTCCGACTCTATGAATATATGTTTCTGCATTTTCTGGAGCGTCTGCTTGTAATAATTAGATTACCCAATCAGCAGCGGGAAATCCAACCTCTTGCTACAATATCAGTAGCAAACAAATATGCAAATTTCATCGAAGAAAATTTTCTAATTTATTGGTTTGCTTTTGTTTGCCATGCAAGTGAAGTAATGGAATTCCTGGATGCAATTACAAAAAGTTTCATACACAAATCGAACCTAAGATGGGGGATAGATTAAGATTTAATAAGAAAATGCGAAATTAAAATTTTTTATTTTTCTTTTAAAAGAAAAGAAATCTCACCTGCTTGCAACTGGATAAGAATACAAGAGCTCTCACTTGTAAATGAGATTTAATAAATGAATATAAGACATCCAATTTTTGCGTAATTCACAAACTAAATAATGTTGTGATAAATTAATTGGCGTGCTATGTTTTGACTCTTCAACTATAGAAATCCTTTAATGCAATAAAATATGAATATTAATAAAATAGTTGTTAAATGAAGTTTATTTTATAAAAATCTGATTTATAAATACCTGAAGGCTAAATCTTTAATAGATTTTGTTTGGTGGAGGAAAATAACAAAGTCTGTTGCTATTTTGGTAAATTTTCAATGATGGTGTTTATAGTCTTTTCACGATCCGCCTCAATTAATTAAAAGAAAGTTACACCTAACATTTTGAAGAGTTGTTACTAACCTAATACTTGGAGATTATCGCATTTGAAGTTTACAGTTTGATCCATATGTTGCAATAAGCGTCCAGGGGTACAAATGAGAATGTTCATCCTATTTATACGTTCCTGTAATTTGATTAAACAAGGTTATTTAAAAAGTGTTACCAATTCTCGTGTTGGCCTGGCAAAAAAGCCCCATCCAGCTTCAAAGTTCATCTAGTAAATTGTAAAATAACTTACCCTCTTTCTCTTACTATTTAAAAACTTTTGTGTAAAATTGCGAAGTTCCGAAGAATCATATCTCTTAAGGATAAATAAATAATAGAGGTTTGAGAAAAATTTTTTCACCCGCCGGTGATACAAAGCTAGGAATCGGCAAATTTTGATGCAAATTTCAAGAAATATGATTGGCTGAAATTTATATCGGATTTTGCATTAGCAAAAATAAGGGGTGTTCAAATCAGTGTATGAAATTCCAGCCAAATGCTTGATGCGCAGTGCGCAAAAAAAAATCACGTGCAATTTGCGGAAAATCAACCCAATTTGCGCACTTGCGCAAATATTTTCAAATATGTTTTTGCGCAGAATTTATAAAAAAAAATAAATAAAAATAAATTATACTATTAAATCAGATAAACCAATATTTATTTGATAATACCATATAGTTAAAAAAAAAAAAGTCCAAAAATGTTCACTAATTATAAATTTACAACCCAATTTACAAATTTACATTGAAATAGAACGGGATAATTGTGCCCAATGATTATATGCCGCCTCAAAATCAAACGAATATAGTGATGGACCATTAATTAAGATATTTAAATGAAAATTAAGTGTTTCCAATTTCATCTTATTTCATAATTTGTTTTTAATTAAGTTTTGACGCGAAAAAACTCTCTCTACCGAAGCATTAGAAAGCGGAATTATTAAAATAATATGAATGATTTTTGAAGTATTAGGATATAAAGAAGAAAATTCTGTAATTGAAAAAATTCTGAACCATTGCTCAACAAATTTAAATTCTTTAAAATTAGCTATGAATTGTCGTACAACTATCTATTTCCTTTCTAATTCTTTTTTATCAATTATTGGTTTATAAACATTACCATCTTGATCATCCTTTTGGTTACCATAAAATTCTCCAATAATTTCAATCTCCTTTTTGCCATATCGATTAATTAAGGTTTGAATTAAAGGTAATTGTTGTGCATCAAAAATCTGCATTGCATGATGAAAATCAGAATCAGGAAATCTTTTTTCAATATTTCGAATTATAGATAGGGAAAATTGTGAAAAGGAGTTTGAAATCGAATTTAATGATAATTGATTACTTTCAACATATTCAAGTAAATGTTTGTCATATGTTGGTGGTGTGTCATCATTCCCAATAAATATTGTTTGAATCACAAGAATTGTGAAATTTAGATGATAATGCACATCAGATAGCGTAATAAAATCCTCTTAAAATACTTTGATTAATCGTTATAAGACATCAAAAAGGTCAGCCAAAAATTTTGTTGCTAAAATAAAATTCAGATCTAATTTTCTAACAATTTTTTCACTAATTCAGATTCATTACCATCGACAAGAATATCTGTTTGTAAAAATGTTATAACAGAGTTCAGAGTTTGATACAAATTAGAGACAGTTTGTGATAACGACAGCTATCATGTTAAAACTAATTTTAATATAGCAAGTCTAGGATCATCATTATCATCAGCTTGGATCATGCGCAAATTTTTCAATCAATTATAAAATCTACTAAAATAACTATATAGCCTTTTTAAAGTAGATTCGTATTCTCTGAAATAAGGTATATCTTTTGCTAAATCTTAACCAACAAATGCAAATCGATATGCTATACAATGAATCACAATCATAAATGAATTTTTATTTTTTAATTTTGTCATTACTCCATTATTTTTTCCTGAAAAAAAAAGAAAATGTAAATATATATTTAAAAAAAATAAATCATAAATAAATAAATCATAAATAAATACATCATAAATAAATAAATCATAAATAAATCATAAATAAATTATAAAACTTACCTATCATTACAGATACTCTGTTACTTCTTATATGATATAAAGGCTAAAATGATATACCTTTTGCATTTAAAAAAATCTCAATATCTCTCATAATTGAATTTGCATTACATTTCTCTAAATTTATCATACCAAGGTATCGCAAAATTGGCTCATTTCTTACCATATGTTTGCTTATTATCACCAGATATTTATCAATAGTAATTGTGGTACTTTCATCTAAAAGAATACTTTATCTAATACTTTTATTGATTTCTTCTATAATTTGACATTTAATTATATATGAAATCAATTCAATAAAGTTAAGTCCATCCTTAGGATTTTTATATGTAGCATAATTAGAAGAAGTAGAAGTTAAAGATAATGTTTGTGAATATAAAGGAGGTGGTGAAACTTTTGTAAGCGGTGTTTGATAATTAATTTCATTATAATTTTTTATTCAATATTTTACAAGATTACTAAAATTGGAATATATATTAAGTGCTAAATTTTATTTTGAACAAAAATATGTATTTCTCATTAATGCGATAATTTTTGATTTTTCTATTCCCAATTATATTACAAATCCAATAATTATATTTGATTAATTTATATTATTTCTTAATTTTGAAATTGAAATATGCGTTTCAGTTTTATATGATTATCAAGGTAATCTTTTTTGAATTTATTACAACCTTTTGTAAAAATATTGTTTACTTTTCTCTCCTTACATTAAATACAATACATAAAAGAGTTTCTCTTCTCATTCTCTCTTTTTACTAACCATAGATATATTTGTGACCATTTTAGATCCCAATCATTTCATTCTTTTTTATATTTTTTATTTAGAATTTTTTTATCTGATTTAGAAGAAGTGCAGCAAGTTGTTCAATATTGTCACTTTCTTTACGCTTTCCTTTTAAGTTATTTGTACTTTGAAAATAATTTTTCATTTTATGAGAAAGATAGTAATTTGATTATCTTTTTTGATCTATCTTTATATGCCATTTAATTGCCTAATTAGACAATTGTTAAGGGAAAAAATATTTGTGCAATTTGTAAAATTAGCTTAAAACTTGCAGAAAATTTGCGTAATTTGTGAAATTTACGCAAAATTTGCAGAAAATTTGCATAAAATTTGCGCAAAAATTTAAAAACTAGTTGCGTAATACACAGATCATGATTATGTGTAATTTGCAAAAATTAAAAGTAAGTTGCGCTCTGCAAATTTCGCAAATAGATTTCATACACTGATTCAAATTCTGATGGATAGTTTTTTAGTACACTCAAAATTAGCTAATCAAATCTGATTTTCAAGTTTGCATCACATGCATTAGTTTTTTTGTTGGTGTATTTGATGCACTAAAATTTGCATCAACTAAAATTGAACAAGTCTATAGCAGGTATAGTTGATGCAAAATTTTTAACAGCCTTAGCCAATTACAAAATGTTTACTTAATCAAATTTGTAAAATACTTATTTTTAAAAATACGATTTCATAAAAATACATCAAAATATATATCAATTTTATTCAATTTCATATACTAAAAAAATAATAATTGATTGGTTAATCATAAGTGCATCAAATTTTACATCAACTAATTTTGAATATCCTTACCATAGAGTAATTTTTATAAAGTTACGCTAAATCTTATCTCAGTTAATAATATGTAAAACCTGTTTTAAACCTGTTAAAAAAAATACTACAAAAATGTGAGTTGTTAAAAAGGTTAGACAAACTTCATATTCTATTGAGAAGAAAAGGAAAGTTTGTTAATTATACAGAACTACATGATAAATGTGCAGTAGTACAGTCAGGGAATATACCAAATATATCTAGATGATCATTTCTTATTATAATAATAAATTTGCTAATCAGAATATTCTAGATTACTCAAAAGATGATTGGTTAAAAATTTAAAAATTAAAATTTATTATTAACTGCGAAATTCTGATAATTTATTTATAATAAATGTAATAAAAAAATAGATTAAGAAGCTATTCTATTATTTAAATATGTATTTTGTATATATATTTATAATAAATAATATATATATTGAAAATATAAAAATTGAAATTAAATGGTTGAAGAAATTGATATTGAAAATAAATGCTTAAGAAATAAATATTAGAGAAATTGCAATATTACTGTCAGAAAAATTAATAAAAATAATTAGTCATTAAATGTATTATTTGCACTAAATGTATGCTTTATATTTTGTAGTATATTTAACAATTTACCTTATTTTTTTGATTTCAATCTGAGATATTTTTTTTAAGTATCTTCACAAAGTTGTTTAAGAAGGATTTTGATTTTTAATAAGATTTTAGCTTAGACATATTTTCTTTATTTTATTATGCATCTGCTTTCTATTTTGTAATTAATATTAGCTTAAAAAGAGAAGATGATTTTTTATTAATAAATACTTCAATAATAAAATTTTGTCAAACCTGTTTTGCTAAATATGTAAAGTTTTTTAATTATTTACTCAATTCATGATATTCTCCTAGACTTTAACAAACAGTTTTTGCATTTATTGGATTGGTAAATTTAAAGTTTCTCAAATGAATTCAGAATTTTTAACATTCCATAATTAATTCTGACTGAGTTCTTAGTTCTGATATTTAAAGATCATTATAATTAATTAAGTTAAATAGATTATTTCTAAGCTCAAAAACTTTTTGAAATTACACGCAGTAATTTTTTAATGATAATATTATAGGATAGAAGGTATTAAAGCTTTCAAAGCCTTGTTTACTTTCTCAATAATTGCATCTAATCCTTAATGTTGTTCATAAATGTCTGATATAAATACAACACAATTTTTCTCTATAGTCTCACATATTTCTGGATGAAGCCACATCAATTGAACTTCATCAGTAACCTCTATTAAGTGATAAATCAGATATCATCTTATAGACCAAATTGGAGAAAATGATCTTCTAGCAGCTTTTTTTAAGAATGAATTATTAGTTCTTATATCTTTTTGATAATTGATGATTACTTGAAAATAAACAAATATTTGCTTATATTTTATCTGATAAAGTGGGTCTTATTATTCTTTAACCCAGATAAGGTATCCTTCAACCAAAGAATTAGAATGGCTTTTTACATATAGCCACATGAGCTCTATTGTTATTACCTGACGATATATGCTACAGATAGAATCTCAAGATTTGTGATGATTT